GGGGTTGGACGTTTTATGATACTAAAGTGAACCACCGTAAACGGAACACCTAACGGCCAATACCAGTCCGTCACTGTTACGTTTACAGAGACTGTTAGCGGGTGGATGGTTCAAGGCACTAGAACCAACCATTCTCGACTGATTAGCTAACGGCACACCGAGTCACAGTTACGTTTACACACTGTCAGCGGGTGGCTGATTAAAACGGAACAGCTAACGGCCAACCGGCGAAAACCCATCCGTTACCGTTAGGTTTACAGACAATCAGCTGTGGCTGATTCATGGCACTAGACACGACCACCACTCTCATCTGATTAGCTAACGGCTCACCGTTGCGTTTACGTACTGTCAGTGGGTGGCTGATTTATGACAGTAGAACACCAACCATTCTCCACTGATTCGCTAACGGCTGACGGGCGTGGATTGCCTGAATCATTCCACAATTATCCCGGCCGTCTTTAGAATGTACTCCATCTTCGTGGCTACCAYCTGGCTGCTAAGTCTWACTTTMTCTTCGCAAACACAATCAGCAACAAGAAGGAACACCGCTCTCGCCGTTGTCTTCATCGGTTCAGTATGGATTTGCTCTTTAATGGCAGGATCGAAGATCTTGTCGAGATCGACGGTGTCCGCCTTGCGCAGGTTGTCCATCTGCTCGTTGATTAGGATTACGTATTCGCCAAGTTTCTCGTCTTTAACTGCGGCCTCTTTGCCAGTCAGGAGCTCCAATAGCAGAACGCCAAAAGAGTAGACGTCATTCTTCGGTCTCGGCCTTCCCCCTTCACCGTACTCCGGGGCAATGTATCCAAGCGTTCCCCAACCCGTCCTTCCTGTGGATGTATTGCCGGCTGTTGTAGAATGTCCTCCAGCACATGGGCCAGACCGAAATCCGCTAGGTATGCCTTCAACTGCGTACCTTCTCCTTCTCCCAATAAGACATTTGCACTCTTCACATCGCGATGGATAACTCGGAGGTCGATTTCGAAATGAAGGTAGCGGAGAGCCTTGGCAATCTGAAACGCCACCACCAAACGCTCGACCAGGGTAAGAGGAGCGGAGGGACGTGTGAGGTGTACCAACTCCGCTTCGGGAGCGGCAATTGACCGCTTCTGCGGGCCACAACAGAAGGACAGAGACAAGAATGGCACGTCTCCTGCGGCGTTGCCTCCACCTGGAGGGTCTCCCCCGTCAGTTCCTCTTCTTCCCCCGTTTGCATCCGACTCTTCTCGTCTTGCCCATCCTCCTCCTCCTCCTCCTCCTCCTCCTCCTCCTCCTCATCCTCCGCGTGTTCCTCCTTCTCCTTCCGTTCCTCGTCCTGTTTCTCTCACTATTAGTGACTCTCCTGGATCTTCGTCTGCCGCTGCTACGGTAACTTCTCCCCCTGGAGGGTCTCCCCCGTCAGTTCCTCTTCTTCCCCCGTTTGCATCCGACTCTTCTCGTCTTGCGCCTCCTCCTCCTCCTCCTCCTCCGCGTGCTCCTCCTTCTCCTTCCGTTGCTCGTCCTGTTTCTCTCACTATTAGTGGCGCTCCTGGCTCTTCGTCCGGCGCTGCTACGGCACCCTCTTCCCCTGCTTCTCTCCTTGGCCCTTCTCTCGGTATTGCCCCTCCTGGTACTTCTCTTTCCAGACGTTCATCCCGTCCATGGAGTCGATCGTACAAGCTCCCGCCCGCCATGTACGGGTAAACCAATTTCAACTCACTCCCATGCTGACAGTAGCCAATCAATCCACACACATTGCCGTGATGTATCCGGCTGAGCGTCTCCAACTCTGCGTAGAAGACCTTTTCCGTGATTTTTGCCAGTTCGTCGCGCATGACCTTGACAGCGATCGGCCTTGCCGGTGAATTCTTACCCCGCAGTAAGCCAAAGTAAACGGTGCCCCCCCCCCCCCTTCCCAATCCGTCGAGACGGGTGGAAACTCTTCGTCGCTGCCCTTAAGGTCTTCAAATCAAAGACTTCGACGCCGTGGACTAGGAAAGAAGCTTCTGGCCCTCGGCAGCGCTGCTGTGCTCTACGGCATAGCAGACCGACTATCCCGATTAACAGAAGCGGCAGAGAAACACCGAAGAAAACACCGACACCCAGCACGATGTTGTTCCCGCCTTCTCCGCCTCTGCTGAAAGATTCCCCCCCCGATTGCGAGGAAGTGTTGTTGGCAGGATTAGGCGAGATGGAGGAATCGGGATGAGCAGCGTTGGGGTAGGGTGACGAGTCGCTACGTGGGGCCGCATAAGGCTGCAGAGCTGATCTGTTGATGGTGAGCTGGAACACTTCCCCGTCGTCTGTGCCTAGCAGCAAGACGAGCTCTCCGCTGAAGTTTCCCATGGCCAAAGAACCCACGCCATATCCATAGCGTTTAGTGTACCGCGTGACGTTCGTGACTCTAATCCCGACTCCACATGGAGAGTCGAGCTCTATCCGCTTCACAAAACCTGTGTCTCTCTCGCAGACGACGATGTTCATTCCATCCTCGGTGACGACTAGATCGTTTAACTCTCCGAAAGATACGTTTAAGGCGTTGGACATCACTATCTTACCCCCACTGCTGCTACCGTTTCCACTGGTGTTAGCACTTGTACTTGTTATTTGCGGCGAGTAGGCGGGCGTGAATCCACGTCCAGCGACAAGATGGACCACATTCGACGAACGGTCGAGTGCCCAAACGCTGCCGCCGGGCTTGCGATCGACGAAGTGCGAACACCTGCCATCGCGTGGGAAACTATAAGGCCCAAAGTAAATGGATGAGTTGTCCCACTCGTGAAACTGATCGAACCAGAAGAGAGGGGAGGGAGTGGAGAGTACCTGGCTGGGAAGGTCGCCGTTGTTGATCGAGGGTAATCGGAGAAGACAAGATCCGAAGAGGAGGGACCCCCCCCGTCGCGACGAACAGAGTGGTCATGTCGGGATCGAGAGCCATCCCGGTGGCGAAATCCACCTGCACCGAGACAGAACTCCTCTCCCTCGTCTCGGCATTGAGCGTGGTGAGCCAAGATCCCCGCGGAATTGCAGAATGGTATCCCGACAAGATCAGCTCCAATCCAGACTTCGACCGAGCCATCCCCTTTGCGACATGCATGTACGACGTGCAGTTATCGTCTTGGCACGTGAAGTGAGTCAGTCGGGCTCCCGTTGCCTCGCGCGCCGGCCACCAGTCGCTTATCAACCGACCTTCCACAGCTGCCGTATTCAACAATGATTCATAGAATGACATACGACGCCTGCTTGGCTTTGTCACCTGTCCGTCCGTCCAGCAGATCTGATCGAGAAGGTAGTAGAACTTGGGACCACCACCGGGCTGCAACACCATGTTGCGTACCATCGGTTTGCACACCATACCCGTGTCGTTGGAACCGAGGACGAACTGGGCTTCCTTCTCGTACGCAAGGATGGCTTTGCAGGAGCCAACGACGAGAGACTCGTCGAGGACATTTAAACCAGGGCAACTGCCGGATGTTAGCAGCACCCTTTGGTCTTCTGGAAAACGGTGGGGAGGAATTGCGCCTGCGCGCGAGCGGACGAATCGCGCCGACGACTGCGCCAAAGCTGATCCGCTCCCGACCGGTCGTCCGCCGCCGATGAGGAAGAATGAAAGCAACACCACTATCACAGTCACTCCACGTGTCAGGGCGAGTCGGGACGGGCAACAGAACTACGCATTGAGGACCCTGAGGTTACACACACCAGGTACGCCACTCGCATCTCTCCTCTTATCGTCGCAGAAGAGTTCCGCCATCTCTTCCTACGTACCAAACTACCGTACAAAACGGAGCGTGCGGTACCCTGGCTTCGTCATCCGGTTTCCCTACCCTAATGTTGTAAATTAAGGCTGTGTGTGTGTGTGTGTGTGTGTGTGTGTGTGTGTGTGTGTGTGTGGGTTCCCTACCGTACACAGCGTTTCTCTAGGCAAACGTCAGGACGTTAAGTCAGGCACCCCAGTTTTTAACTAACAAGGCTCGCCCATCAACTTACTATGGAAAGCTCTCTCTCTCTCTCTCTCTCTCTCTCTCTCTCTCTCTCTCTTTATCTATCTATCTATCTATCTGTGTGTGTGTGTGAGAGAGCGCACGCGCCCTATATATATAGATTTCTCTCCGGCGCCTGCAAAGGGACTGGGGGTGATCCGATAAGGGGTTTGAGAAGAAAGACGAGACGGAAAAAACGGACGCTAAAACAAAATTGGTAGAGCTCTACCTACATATTACACTCCACTTGTCCGTGTATGCCTAAGCTCCTATAGGGGGAGTTAGTCAGTTGGCGCGCCTCGGTCCTCTCTGCTACTTCATCTCTCTCTCTCTCTCTCTCTCTCTCTCCCTCTCTCTCTCTCTCTCTCTCTCTCTCTCTCTCTCTCTCTCTGTGTGTGTGTGTGTGTGTGTGTG